AATATTATGATAGTAGCTATACTATATACTAAAATCTGTATATGAATGGTTTGAAAGATGGTCGGAATTTTGGGGGATAATCCAGAAGACACTGAGATGTAAAAAACAAATAACTGTAAGCAAGTATGTAACACGATGTCTGATAAGCACAAACAATGTAGATAGATTGGAAAATTAATAAAAAAAGTTTAAAACAAAAAAGAATAAAACCAAAATTAAATGATAAGATAAAAGCAGGAGGGTAATCAAATGGTGAAAAAGCAAAAAGTTGATTTGTATTTGTAATATGAATTAATTGGCTGATGGTATATTTTATGTTCTCCTATCCCCCAAAACCTTTTGCCCTTTTCCCTATTCCCCCCTTTAATTTCTGTACTTTCCATCCCTGTTCTTAAATAAATACTTAGAAATGAAAAAAAAGAGATACTGATAGTGAGACACCAAAGAGAGAGAAATTGTGGTCTTTCCAAACAGATTTGGATGCAGAAGGCCTTACAAAAGAAATAGTCCCAGAAGGGACCTACTAGACAAAAATAAATGGGAAAATATTCATTTATTTAAAATATTTGTGTCACGACCCAGCCTCCTGTTAGGGAGCGCTTGATCGGCAGACAGAGAGCAATTGGTAGCCTGAGTACCCCTAAGCAGCTGGGTAGAGTCCTGGTGACCACAGCCAGGGTGTACAACAGACCCTTCTCACAAGTCTGTCCTAAAAAGATACTTGCTTGCACTTACTTAAATTCAAAAAGAAGATACACATGAGCGTTGTAGTCCTAAAATATACTAAAACTCAATAAAGTAGGACTCTGTAGCAATCTGTGCCCTTGCCTTTTGATCTTTTTTATTGGAAAAAAATAGATTTACAGAATAAATTCAGTTTGATGCATAAGCACAGCAATAATGCATTTCCAAGGCTTATTACAACTACACTGGTGACTCACAAGCTGAATGCCTCGTGGGACGAAAAACTCACAAGACGAATGGTTTTGGCAATGGGGTTGATGACTTGCAAGACGAATGTTCCTATGGCCATGCTTCGCAAGACGAATGTTTTCCGTTTTTTGCTCCTGCCTCATGTTTGCTGATTTTAAATGTTTTTCTATGATGTTTAAAAAGTTAAAAAATTTTGATTGACATTTTTTAAATCATTTGCACAATATGTATGGCTTTTAAGAGCACTTAATAAATCCTTTGTAAACCAAATTTGACTTTGTTCTGACTTTTTTTGCCCATAGGAATGCATTAATTAGCTTTCAATGCATTCCTATGAAAAACCATGTTTTGCAAGACAACATTAACCGTGGAACGGATTAAATTCGTTTTGCGAGGCACCACTGTACAATTAAGGCAACTAATTCCCTTTTGATTACAAAATTCTAAAAATCTCCAAAAAGCTTTCCTTATGGGAGATAAAAGGCACAAAGTCTCCCCCTTTCAATTCCTTTAACTCTCTACATCCCCCAAGTCTTTTTCCTAGCACAGGGCATAAGGAAAAAAGACCTAGAAAAATCTTTGGTTCCAACAGAGGAAAAAGAAGGAACACTGCACATGGCAAAAGTTCATTTTTCTATCTTCTAAACTCCTCTTGTCTTCTTCGCCTTCCACTATGTCATCCAATCAGGACGCAAGGTGGTAGAAGTAACCCCTCCTTCTCTTCTTGTGAGAAAGCAGTTGTTGTTTGCCACCTACTTTCTTCTCCGCCATAAGTGTCTGGTCTTCTTATATTGTCTTGGCTGTACTGGCTAAAAGAAAAACGTTCCCACAGCCCTCCTGGACAACATTCTCAGCATTCAAAATAATTCTTACACAAAACCAATCTGGATACATTTTACATTTCTCCACAACTACACAACTCATCTCCATACATGCTTTAACCCACATATTCACAATCACAACAATTTGTACCCTGTATTTCTCCTCAGAGGACCCAAGACAGCTTACTGTAGTAAAACAAACAACATTGAAAGCTTTTTTAAAAAAAAGTTATTTTTAACATAGAAAGAAGGGTTGTAGGTTAGTGTTTTGCCTGGAATTTTCTATATTGGTGTTATTGTTCTGTAGAGTACTGGATGCTAAAGTCTTTCTGACTTGATGGATACAAATGCTTTTGTGATATTGTTCCAGCAGTGGATCTGACAGTACCTTTTGGATGGTGCCTCCCTTTTCTCTGAGTTTCAATGCATAAAAGTGATGTGTGTGTTGGTTAGACAGGAATGGGGATGATGCAAAAAATCATGCATTTTGGATGGTTCAGAAGTAGACTGCAGGAGATCCTCCTCCTGTTCATCCTAACTGAAGAAAGCCAATGCACAGGTGCATTCTATTTTTTTCACTGTAAATCAGTCTCACATTAAATCACCTTACAGAGCAAAAGTACACTTTTGAAACAAGGTGTGAGAGAAAGAATCTAAATGACAGAAAAAAAACATGCTTCCAGTCAAGATATTGGTGCATTCATCATCATTTCATAATTCCTTATTTTTTATTGGCAGGACAACAAGGTTCTGCTGGTGATCGTGGATCTGATGGAAAGCCAGGCCCCTCTGGAGTTTCCAATATAACTGGAATACCTGGTGACATGGGATCACCAGGTTTGGATGGAGTACCAGGTAACACAACACTGCAACTTCTTGGGGGCTTTCAGTTGTGGTATCAGTATTCCTGCTCTTAAATTGGTGGGGAAGAATTTTTGATGAATGAAACTGAGATGAATGAAGGTGTTAACAATTGGCTGTTTTTATTTTGGGGTGTTGTAATTTTTTAAAATGTAACATACTCAAAATCTCCTTCTGATAAGTAAAACCAGGAAATTGTTACAAAGGCAAGGAGGTCCCCCTTCCAAAAAATCCTTAGAATGACTGAAATCCAGTACTAAATCATAGCTGGAGTAGGCCCATTGAATCAGTGGTGATCTGGAGAGTTATCACCTCTATAAGTTCCACTGCCTATTTGCGACTTCTGGGTTTTAGCCAGTGTTTTGATCTGAAATTCTAGTTTGATTAACATATAACATGAGAACTGTTGGGATGTTCTCTGTGAAATAATTTATATTCTGTGGTTAGAGGTCAAGAAAGGATCTGAAAGTGCAAGCTCATGTGTGCCCTAATTAAGCACTGTAATTCTGAATTAGTCTGTAGTCTGACAAGATAATGGAAACCTGGAAACTTATCTGTAAGCACTTATAGCAAAATCCATATAGCTATTTATTTTGAAGTAAGTCTGTGTGCAGTTAGTATGCTTTCAGACAGAGATGGACATGAGCCACATTTTCATGTCCCCTCCAGTGACTATACACTCAGACAAGGAGACAAGTCAGGGATGCCCACGATACTGCTGGTGAGTGGGCAATTGTTTGAAGGAGGTAGGGGAGTGAAGCATGTGGTGCCTGTGTAACATCTGTGCGGGTGCCATGTCATATTGGACCAAACCACCGGAACATGGTTCTTCCCTTCTCTACATTCAGATAAAGGCATATAAGATTCCCGTTACAATCATGGTTCTGCATTTCCACTATATTTTGATAGATGAATGCAGCTTTCTGTCCTATCAGACTCCCCTGACTCCTTGCCCCGAAGTATTATTCCCAATAAAAAAGGGGAATTCCCATTCCTGGTAGCCTTCAGAAGCAGCAATTAATCTTGTAAAAGACTGAAGCCTCCCTTACCCCAAGCGGTCAACATTAAAAAAATAGATTTTTTTAAAAAACTGGAAAATTCTTCAGCGTGGCCTTTGTGAATGCACACATATGCCTGCACATCAGTGCCTGCGCTGGAACTTCGGAACCTTCTAGAACTTTTCTGAAAAAGATACATAGTTTAGATTACCCTTTGCACGCATGCTCCATTCCCCCTAGCCTTCAGTTCCTATTTTTCCACCACAGTGCTAGGAACGTTTCAGATAGAGCTCTTCACATTTTGATATTTTGGCTTGATTTTTGGACTGTTCCATCGGCTAAGAATATTCTCTGTTGCCCCTTGACTTCGGACTGTATCGACCATTCTTTCGTTTGCAGACTTTGGCTCTGTTTTCAGCTTTCCCATGCTTTTGTGGATTGCTTGATTGCCTGGCTGATTGGCGCTGTGGGGTGCGCCATTATCTACTTAATCTTAATTGCCTCAGGACGTTTTCTATTATTGCTGTGAGTACTGAGGCTCCTACATCCTGACTTTGACTGTTTATGTCCCCGTCAGGCCCTTTTAGCAAGTGTAGTGTGTGCTCCAGGAAACTGCCCTTTTATGACAAGCATAATCTCTGTTTATTCTGCTTGGGAGACGTTCATAACACCTCCACTTGCAGACATTGTAAGAAGTTTACCAGGACAGCTTTAAAGGCTCGTCAGCAAAGGCTGAAGTTTTATCTGTGGGACAAAACCTTGTCTGCTTCCCACCCATCTGAGATGGAAACATCTTCCAATCCATCTGTGACTCCTTCCTCTGAGGCTAATGTGTCTACTCCGTCTACCTCTGCTTCTAAGCCGGCTAAAACTCCCAAGAAGACCGCTTCGAGTTCTTCTAAAAAACCGCCCACTACACCCAAAGTGACTGTCTCTAAGGACACTCCAAAGCCTAAAAAGCCGGCTGGCCAGTCTAAAAAGACCAAGGCTAGGGATATTACTTCTATCCCACCAGTGACACCCTCGCTGCCTTCCCCTGTACTGGAAGATTCCTCGAGGGATCAGGAATCTCTGTCTGAGGCGGCTGCGTCTTTGCCTCCTCACCAACATTCGGATGTCCAAGCTGAGCCTCCATGTTCTCTTACTCCTGATAGAATTGAAGAGGCTGTGCCATCCAGCCCTCATTCTGCCCATTTCAGCCCTGCTAATGCCAGGCGGGCGTCAGAGGCTTCAAGGTCACCTTCGTCTCCAAGGCGCGAATATCTTGTCAGAATATAGAAATTTTATAGGCCTGAACATGTATAAGTGTATCATTAACGAGCTGCCATGGTGCACAGATGTGAGAATGCTGAATCACTCTGGAGATGATGCAATGTCTTGAAACAAGAAGAAGACCAGGTGCAACAGGATGAAGTCATCTGTATTCTGATTGGACAAAATAAGCCATGTACATGTATATAAGTGGACTGTGTCTTTGTATCTTTCTCTTCCTCCACCACTACTTGCTGCCATGCATGCTGTCCGACTGTATAAAGAGTTCCTGCCGTGCTGTTGAGATGCCTGCCTGTATATAACTGTAAATACTTGTAAATACAACCATCTTGCAACAAAGAAGAACTTGTAAGTGTCTTCAATAACTCTGCATATTTCTACTGTCGCCAAAACCCTAACATATCTGCCTCGCAAGAGGTCTTCGAAAAGAGACCATTCTTCCTCTGCTCGACGTAGAAGTCCTGACGAGGGTTCTCAACATTGGAGGAAGCATAGAAGGCACCACTCCAGCCATTCCCATTCAACTAGACACCAATCTAAATATAGACGTCGACACTTCGACACCGGCAGCACTAGTTCTTCCTCTTCGACCCCGGAGAGGCACCATAGACGTAGAAAGAGGCGCTATTCTTTCTCTCCATCTACTTCCACCTCTTCATCAACCTCTCCACTTCGACGTCGACATTCTCATGACATCGAACCGGCGAAACTACCAAAGAAGACACCAGCTAAGCCTGCTTTGATGTCAACATCAGTGTCCAAGGACGTCCAGCGGGTCACTCATTGTCCCCAGGAGCATACTAATTTTCAAATGGTACCATCTGAAGAAGAGGATGTCATTGTTGATTCTGACCAAGGAAACGAACTTTTCTCTCCTCAACAGGAACAATCACTTATAGAAGCTGACTCCTTTGAGTCAGACACTGGGGACCCCCACCCTTCCTCACCATCAGAGGATTTTTCCTCATACATGCAGATGGTGGCCAGGATGGCCAAATCTTTGAAGATTTGGCTCCACCTCCTCCATCTGAGGACTTGATTTTTGGGGATATAGGTCAGGAGAGATCACAACCCCTTAGCCTAACTTTGATCTTGAAGTTGATAGACCTGATCAAGGCAGCTTGGGCTGACCCATCCACTCCGGCTTCCATTCCTCGGAGAACAGAAAATCTATATCGAGTGCATGGCGACGATACTACATTTTTGTCGAAACATCCAGCACCAAACTCTGTTATCATTCTTGCCAATTCCTCCAAAGCTTCTGGACGTCAGTATGTCACTCCTACCAATAGGGAGGGCAGAAAAATGGAGGTTTTGGGGAGGAAAATATATAATTTCCAGGCCTTTTTGCTGCGAGTTTGTAATTACCAAGCAGCAATGGGCGCATACTAGAAACAGATTTGGAACAAGGTGCTCCCTGCTCTGCAAGTTACCCCTGAAGACATCAGACAGGATTGCCTTAATGCTTATGCTGAGGCTATGACACTCTCAAAACATCAACGATTGGCAGCGAGACATGCTACTCACGCTGCCACCAAGACTTTGCTATAGCTATCTGCCGCCATGCCTGGCTAAGAGCCTCAGGCATTATTGAGGATGTAAAGAAACAGATTGAGGAACAAGCCTTTGATGCTAAAGGTTTATTTAATGAGAAAACTGACGAATCTTTGAAACTCTACATGAAAGTAAAAAGACAGCAAAATCATACACAATTCATCAACAACCCAGGTTTCAGAAATCACAGTGGCAGAAGCATCTTCCACAACAGCAATTCCAGCATCAGTCTTCTCAGGAATACAAGAATTTCAGAAGCTCCCAAGGGAGATCTTCCCAGGCATCTTCTGCTGCTTCATCCTACAAACAGCAAGCATCAAACAAGTGTCAGTTTTACCGGCCTTCTAGCAAAAAGGCCAAACAGTACCTTTGACTTTCCCAATCTACTGCAGGATCATCCCACACGACTTGCTCCATTTTACCACAATTGGCAAAAGATCACAAAGGGCAATTGGGTTCTAAATATCATCAAATTCAGCTACAGACTAGAGTTGATGGAGCTTCCTCCTCTAGGTTATCTAAAGGTGACAACATCCAACCCTGCTCTAGAGGAGGAAGTTCTCGCTCTGCTCCAAAAAGAAGCAATACAGCAGGTCCTGCATCGAGACATCACCAGAGGGTTCTACTCTCGGTACTTCACAGTGCCCAAGAAGGACGGAGGACTCAGACCAATTCTGGACCTAAGGGACCTGAACATTTACCTTCATCCACGTCGATTCTGGATGGTCACACTGGAGTCCATCGTCCACCTGCTGAAAAAAGGAGATTGGTTTACAGTCATAGACCTCAAAGATGCGTACTTCCACATAACAATTCATCACCATCACAGGAAGTATCTGCGCTTTGTGATCAACAACAAAATCTTCCAATATGCGGCCTTACCATTCGGCTTAGCAACGGCTTCACGCACGTTTACAAAGTGCATGGCACCGGTGGCAGCCTTTCTACATCTACAAGGAGTGAAAGTGTTCCCCTATATAGACGACTGGCTAATTGTGTCTCCATCCAGGGAAAGGGCCATCCAAGACTTGAGGTACACTCTAAGCATCCTTCAAAATCTGGGCCTCACAGTGAATTACGAGAAATTGTCTGGTTCGCACCGCGAAAATATGCAGAGTTAATTGATTGAAGACACAGACACCTTCTTCTATAACAAGACACGTGTATTAT